TTACTTTTCTGAAGGAGTTGATAAGTTTCTAATTAAATTCTCTGAAAAAGGGGGGTTGGAGAGATGTCTCCTTGGTTAAGAGCACTGGTTGTTCTACCAGAGGATCTGGGTTCAATTCCCAGCACCCACATGGCAGCTCACAGCTATCTGTAACTCCTGTTCCAGGGGATCTGACACCATCACACAGATATATATGCAGGCAACACACTGATGCATGTAAAATAAAGATAAACCATTTAAAGATACTCCTAAAAATATATGTGTGAAAAGTGAGAGAGAAAAAGATTTTAGCAGAAGCAAAAGTGAATTCCCACAGCACCAGTGTAGAATGTACCCATTATCCTGTGTGGATGCTTCTCTCAAACAGGACATGGCTTTGCACCCCTTGAGTGTGGGATGTGTGGGATGTTACTTGTCAAGAAGGTAATGTAGAAAGAGTGGAGAGAGCTATGACACTCCTCCATCCAGGTGTCAGGGGTCAACATCAAGAGTGTTAAGTTATGTGGATAGTAGGTGAAAAGTGACAAGAGGCACTGCCTGTGTAATCTTTCCCCAGGGTCTCATAATTGCAGTGATCATGAGAAAACATTGGCAAGATCCCAGGTAAAGAATTAGAGATCTAGTTAGTGCTCTACAGGCTTCTCAGCCTCATCAAAAGTAAGAATGAGAAATTGTCACAGCTCAAAGGATAGGACAGGTGTAATGTGGTATTCAGAGTAGACAGAAAAGAACACTAAATAAAATTAAAAAGTATTTTAAAGTATAGATAGCTAGAGGGCTAGGGCTATGGCTTACTGGCAGAGCTTGTGTAAGGCCCATCCATCCCCAACACCACAAAAATGAATGAATAAGCAATAAATTAATCCACACACTGTCAACTAGCTGATAGTTACTTAGCATGCACTTTTTAAAAAAAATTGTAATTAGTTTTTAAGAGACAGGCTATTTACTCTGAGCTTGTCTTGAATTCATGATCATATTGCTTTAGTCTTTTAGGTGCTATGATTATATGCTTGCATCATCATGTCCAACTTTCATTAGTTTTGACTGATCTGTCTGCAAGCATTTCTTTTTATGTTTTATTTTTTAAGATTATATTTCCCTTTCCTCCCTCCAAACCCTTCCATGTATGCCCACCCACTGTTCTTCAAATTCATGACCTCTTTTCTTGCTATATTTGTGTGTGCGTGCACATTTGTATGTGTATTCCTAAATACATAAATATAGCCTGTTTAGTATTTATGTTATTTGTATGCATATGTATTTAGGGCTGACCATTTGGTATTGGATAACCAATTGGTGTGTTCTTCCCTGATGAAGACAATCTCCTGCTCTCAACATTCCTCAGGTGCCTGTGGTTGTTAGGGGAGCTTTCCCCATCTACATTAGCATGTCTGTTACTACTGTCCTTGTTCAGGTTGTGCTTAGTAGCCATGTTGGTGAGACTTTGTGATTGTAGCTTCTGACATTTGTGGGAGACACAATTTCACAGCAAACACTCTGTTCCTCCGGGTTTTATAACCTTTCTGCCTCCTCTTTTGAAACAGTCCCGAGTGTGCATTTCTTTACAAGTTTACACCAGTCAACCATGTGCTGATTAATGATTAGTTTCAATAAAACATTAAGTATTGTTCCATCCGATGGAAGCAGATGCAGAGATCCACAACTCACCAATGGGCCAAGCTCCTGGAGGACAGTTGAAATGAGGGAGGAGCGATAATATGAACAAAGGAGTCAAGACCATGGTGGGGAAACCCACAGAATCAGCTGACCTGAGCTAGTGAGAGATCACTGACTCAAGTCTGTCAAATGGGGAACCTGCATAAGACCAACTAGATTCCCTTAATATAGATGAAAACAGACTGACTTAGTGGAGGCCATTCTATGTGGAGAGACACCTTGCCCAGCCTAGACACAGGGGTGTGGGGTGGAGAGGTGCCTTAGTCTTGCCTCAAGGAGATGATGGGACAGACTTAGTAGACTTCCTTCCTACGAGAGACCTTACCCTCTCCATGGAGCAGATGGGAGGAGGGCAAGAGGAAGAGGAGTGGGAGGAGAGGAGGGAGGGGGAACTGGGATAAGAATGTAAAGAAAAATTAATTAAAAAAAAAAGTATTGTTTC